TCTTAAAACTCTTCAAAGAAACTGAAAGGGATGGAGTGCTCCCAAATTCATTTATGGAAGCCAGTATCACCCTAATTGTCAAACTGAAAAAAGATTCAACTGAAAAAGAGAACTCTAGATCAATCTTATTAACAAACATAGATGCAAAAATCCTCAACAAGATACTAACAAATAGAAAGCAGCACATTATCAAAAAGAAGATACTTCATAATCAAATAGGTTTCATCCCAGAGATGCAAGGATGGATCAACATACATAAGCCAATAAATACAGAACATCACATAAATAGTAGCAAGGTCAAAAACACATGATCAATAGACACACAAAAGGCTTTCTACAAAAATCTAACACCCTTTCAAGATAATAAAAAACATGAAGATAACAGGTATACAAGGATCACATATGAATATGGTAAAGGCTATTTATAACAAAGCAATAGCCAGCATCATACTAAATGGCTAAATGGGGGAAATCTATAAGCATTACCCCTAAAATCAGGAATAAGACAAGGATGTCCACTATCACTGCCTCTATTCAACATAGTACTTGAAACACTAGCTATAGCAATTAGTCAAGAGAAAGAAATAAAATGGATACATAGAGGAAAGGTAAAACTCAAATTGTCATTATTTGCAGATGACCTGATACTCTACATAGGAGACCCAAAGAATTCCATCAAAAAGCTCGTAGAAGTAATAAACAACTTCAGTATCAGGATACAAGATCAATATGCAAAAATCTTTAGCATTTGTGTACACCAACAATGAACAGGATGAGAAAGAAATTCTGAAAACAAAACCATTCACAAAAAATGAAATATCTAGGAATTAACCTAACCAAGGATGTGAAAGATCTCTACAAAGAAAACTACAGTACCCTGAAGAAGGAGGTTGAAGAGCACATCAGAAAATGGAAAGATGTCCCTGCAGGCAGAATCAATAGTGTTAAAATGGCCATGCTTGCAAAACTGTTATGCATTTTCAAAGCAGTCCCAATCAATACTCCAACAATATACTTTACAGATTAGAGAAAATAATTCTAAAATTCATATGGAACTAGAAGAGACCTAGAATTGCAAAAGTAATTCTGGGCAATAAGAGCAAAGCAAGCACCATAGCACTAATAACTGACTTCAAGCTATAATACAAAGCAAGGTCCTGGAACAAAAACAGCTACATGGATCAATAGAACAGCATCAAGGATACAGAAACCTCCCCAGCCATATTCAAATATCTGATCTTTGACAAAAGGGCAAAAAGCATATGTTAGAAGAAAGCCTATTCAATAAGTAGTGTTGGAAAAACTGGTTATCTGTTTGCAGAAGATTGAAACTGGACCCTAATCTCTCACCATATATTAAATTAAAATAAAAATAGATCAGAAAACTAAATATTACAACAGAAACATTCAAACCATTGGAAGATAAAATAGCAGACATAGATGTAGGAAAGGATTTTCTAAACAGAGCCTCAAGTGCCCAAGAAGTAGCAGTAAGAATCAAGAAATGGGATTATATCAGACTAAAAAGCTTCTGTACAGCAAAGGAATCAATCATTAAAGTGAAGAAACAACCTTCAAAATTGGAAAAAGGTTTTGCAAGCTACTCCTCAGAGGACCAATATCTAGAATATACAAAACTAAGAAAAAAAAAAAGAAAAAAAGAAAAAATTAAACCGCCTAAAATTAAAGATCCAGTCAAGAAAAGATCAAGAGAAATGAAGAGACATTTCACAGAGGAAGAAATACAAATGGTCAACAGGTATATAAAAAATATTCAACATCTCTGGCCATTAGAGAAATGCAAATTAAAGCAATGCTAAGATCCTGCCTCACTCTGGAAAGACTGGCAATCATTAGGAAATAAAACAACACATACACACCAATGTTCATAGTAGCACAATTTGTAATAGATAAATCCTGGAAGCAGCTTGTATATCCATCAACAGATGACTGGATAAACGAAATGTGGTATGTACATAATGGAATACTACTCAGCCATAAAGAATGATAAAATTGAGACATTTGTGGGAAAATGGATGCACCTCAAAAATATAATGTTGAGTGAAATACATCAGACACAGAAGCTTACATGTCATATGTTATCTTTCATCTGAATGAGGCATAGTACAAAGAACATGACATAGGATGGGTAAAAAGGAGCAAGAGAATGGATCTCTTTCAAATAGGGAAGTGGTCCAAAGAACAAAGATGAGGGGTGAGGAGGAGGGGAAGGGGAAATGAGAAGAATAAAGATGTGCCATGTACATGGATCTATCAACCCAAATTATATAAACCTATATGCCATTACGTGAGCTAAGACAGATAATATCAAAAAGTATGAAAAAAGGGATGGGGAATTGGTGGAGAAGTGGATGGGAAGTGTAGGAGATAAGAAGAAACAAGAAACAAGCTGTAACATGTACATTTAACCACTCTCAAGATGATTGTAAACTGCATCAATTGTAATCATGTACTAATAAAAAACTTTTAAAACAATGGGCTATAGAAATTAATAGACACTTTCCAAAGGAAGAAAGACAAATGGCCAATAGCTACATGAAAACAATGTTCATCATCTCTGTCCATTAGAGAAATGCAAGTGAAAACAATTCTATCACCCCTCTCATTCCAGAAATAATGGGTATCACAAAGAATTCAAACAGCTTCCCAGTAGCCCCCCTCAAAAAAAAAAACCCAAAAACAAAAAACAAACAAAAAAACCCCTCAAATGCTGGCAATATTTTTTGGGAAAAAGAAACCCTTCTACATTCCTGGTGGGAAGGTAAAGTAGTAAAACCACTATGAAAATCAGTATGAAGATTCCCCCCAAAATGAATAATTGAAATTCCATTTGATTCTGTCATACCCCTTCTGGATACTTTGCCTAAAGTTAAAGATATCATATTGTAGTGATGCATGCGTACCCATATAACAGCACAATTCATAATAGCTAAATCTTGGAAACAGCCTGTATGCCCATTTACAGATGAATGGGTAAATAAAGATAAATGTGAGTTATTTTTAGGAAAATTGATGCACCTTTAGACTATAATGTTAAGTGACACAAATCAGACACAGAAGGTTAAATTGCATGGTTTCTCTTATATGAGAAGGCCAAAGTATAAATGATTTAAAGAGCAAAATAAAAATTAGATGATGGAGAATAAAAAGAGGTCTTGTTGATGTCCTCAGAGACAATCTTGGATCTGAAGTTATTCTAAAATGAGCATTGTTTTATATTTTCTCTTATTGAAATTAATCATTTAAAACTCATATGAAGAAGATACTATTTGCTCCATCTTTTAGATAAATAAATAATCTCATATTACATAGCTAGTAAATATTAGAGCTGGAATTTGAATTCACATCTTGCCATTGCAAAGGTGTCACCTCTTTATTTTATTTATTGATTGACTGAGTGATTGACTTTTTTGAGACAGGGTATTGCTACGTAGTTTAGGTTGACCTTGAACTCATTGTAGCTCAGTAAGTATGCAGCTCAGGCTGACCTCCTACTCTTGACAATCCTTCTGCCTCATCTCTAAAGTGCCAGGATTACGGGTATGCACCATCACACCTGGCTCAGAGTGTCACCTCTGAAAGCATAATATTAGTAATAATGACAGAATCAACTTATATATTAGTGACTAGGTGCCAGGCTCTCTCCAAGATATATGTGTATATCATTTTTCATATAATCCCAGTAACCATCCTAAGACATGAGTATCATTAATCACATTTTACACAGGATAAAATTAAAGCAGGTAGGAATTAGTTAATTGCAGAGGTTGGATTCAATTCTAGGTAGTCTGGCTCTTGGTTTTCTTAATTATAACTTCTACTCCTTTCTGTCATTTTCTACATTTAAAAATCTAGCAAGTCGTGCTAATTCTATTATTCCAGTATGTCTCAAATATGTCCACTTCTTGTTCTGTTACTACTTTAGCAGTTCAAATCTCTTGCCTAGACACGTTTAGCATCTAGCCTTTTTCTTTGCCTTTGATCCTTCAATTATTTCTCCACACATTATGCAATTTCTCTGCTTAGATCCCTTCTGCTAGATATCAGAATGGATAGATGGCTGGATATGTGATAAAGCAAGTAAAGTGATTTTTTTTTTTTTTTTTTTTTTTTTTTTTTGTACTGGGGATCAAACTCGGGATCTTGTGCTTTGCAGGCAGTGGTGGCACCACTGAGCTAAATCCCCAGCCTGAAGTGAAATAGTAATGGCAGAATCTACCATCATTTTAACTTCCTTGTATGTTTGGAAATAAGCATAAAACTTCTAGAATTCTCACTGTTCTTAGGATTAAATTCTAAGCTTTCTACTACAGTGTACCAGATCTTCTTGGCCTGGCCCCTGCTTACTTCATTAGCCTCAGCTTTAGTCTCCCTTTTTGCATGCTCCCTCCCCTGGTCCCAATACCCCATTTTTGAATATTCTATGTCCTCTCTTGCCTTCAGAATAATGCATGTTTTTCCACGCGCCTGGAATAGGCCTCTTTTTCTTGTTCTTCTGATTGACTCTCTCTGGTCTTCAGGTCTCTTCTGAAATGGCATTTTTCCTGAGAAGCTTTCCCTGACTTCTTCCAGACTAATCTATACTTGCTGTGCATTCTTCTACTTCCTTATATACGGACACTCATAGTACTTTATTACAACTACTTTTGCTATCTCTCCAGGTAGACTATGATTTTCACGGCAACATAGATCATATCATTCTTCGTTACATACTAGCATATACAGATTCTAGAATAGTATGTCACATATAGTAGCTACCTTATAAATATTTTGAATGCATGAATAAGAAAATGGCTGAATGAATTATACTGCTAACAACTAAGCTGTTATTTATAAATAGCTGCTGTCTGCCATGTCCCTAATTCTCAATAATCTCATTTTATCAAGCCCATGGAAATTCAAAAGTTTCTCTCTGGGCTTTGCTGACTATTTCATTTACTGCAATATAGATGTTGGAATTTCAGCTGGTAAGTAGTTACCTCAAATCGTGGTATGTCCATTTCCACCTGTCCTTTTAGCAACGGAGGTTGTTTTGGAGTCTCGCGGATCATCACACTCCATCTGAAATGTGGTTCAAAACAAACATATATTTAGGGTTCTGCTTTATTACAAGCTGGAATGAATGCTTCACAGATCAAGAAAGAAGTCAAAAAGTTTATGTATTGGAGCCAAATGGAATACAGGGATACTGAAGCAATCTTTGGCCACCTGATCTCAAGGTATTCTACAAGAAGGGACTGTGCTTCATGACTTTTCTAAAGTGCCTAAAGTTGCCAGAGAGCGGCACTTCTTGATCAGAGGTAACATCAAGATGCTGGATGTGGATTACACAACTTTAATCCCAGCACTTGGGAGGCTGAGGCAGGAGGTTCGCTGTGAGTTCAAGACCAGCCTGGGCTACATAATGAGTTCCAGGTCAGTCTCAACTACATAGTGAGACCCTATCTCAAAAAAAAAACAAACCAACAAAACAACAAGATCATCTGCAATACTTTTGTAAAACATACACACCAGGGTGGTGTCCAATACTTATATTTATGGAGCATCAAGAATCAAATACTCAGGCATAGCAAGTATTTTCCTTTTCCCTTCAGGAGATAGAATAGCAATACTCTCTCTTCTACACAGCAGAGATAATCTAAGCCAGCTGGGGTTGAACTTCCTCCTTATTAAAAGTTTCTTGAGACTCTGATGACATCATAGACTCCTTACCAAAAAAAATATCTGCTGACATAGATGAATGACTATGCAATTTGAAAGAAGTTCACAGAATCCTTGACGTTTTTCCATGGGGCCCCTGCTACAGAATCTTTTAGGTTTGAAGAAGAACTTTAGTGATATATGAAGGTGGCAGACCATTGGTTTTCCAAAAGACCGTGGTCTACAAACTGCCGTGCACTGAAACCAGAAAAGAAATGGGGCTCTGAGGGAGAGGTTGAGGATTTCTGACTGAGATGAGGTAACTGAGAATGATTGGTATGGGGCCTGAAGAGGCAAGAAAGAGAATTTGGCTTTTTGGTGACTCACCTGTCTAGAATTTTCATGCTTGCCCGCTCTACTCTGTAGAGGATGTCCAGCAGTGATTTGTTTTTGTTCCAGGATGCACCCCAACCCAGGACACGGGCCAGATCATTTCCAGTTCCAAGTGGGATGACTGCCAGCTGACACTGCAAGAACAAAAAGGAGACACCTGTTTCAGACAGTGCTTCTACTAAGCGCTATCCATGAAAGAACACAGAAGTTGCTCTTTGGGAAGAATTATCGTCTTAAAGCCAGTTGTTGTAAGAAATTTCATATTCTAGGAAGTGTAAATAGGAGGATGTTTGAAGTGGAGTGAAACTTTCCCTAAAGAGTTAGACTCCACTCTCAGCAATGGAAAACTTACTTAGGAAAGTTGCTAGAATGTACCAAACGTTATAGTTATATTTACAAAAGAGAACTATAACTACAAACTTCTATTGGGGCTGGACCCAGTAGCTGTAGTGCTTCAGAAGATAAAGCTATTGGAGTTAGGAGAGCAAGGGCTGCCTACAGGTGAGAGATAGGTAGAGGAAAGATTTTGCCACTCTTGAGACTCAGTAGGAAAATCAGTAGCGTCAGGAGGGGAAGGGAATTGGAGGCTATATGCTGTGTATGGGCTCTTCAAAAAAACTCCTTGCTTTCTCCCCCTTCATCCCTTCACTTTGAAGCCTGGAGAATGGGCACTACACATTCTATGAGTCAACTACTTCATTTGTCCTTCATACAGATAAATGATCAGAAAATGGTCTGCATGAGCAGGCTTAGATTGGTCAGGTTAGCTATCAAAACTATGGGAAACATGTATTTCATAGGCAGGGAGAATGAAGACTTGGGGCTTCATGGGACAAACAGCTCCACACCCTTACTCTTTCTATCAATATCTAAACTGAGTCAGCCAGAGCCTTACCCTCTCATGTAATCCGAAGGCATCAATCAGGGACAGGACCCAGCTCACACTGCCATCCCCACCGCAAACCAGAACACGAAAACGAGCAAAGTTCTTGAACATGTGCAGCCTGGAAGGAAGAAGAGGTAACATCATTACATGAACAACTGGATTATATAACTCTTACAGTGTTTCAGGACCCGATGACTGCTGATTTAGCATCCTGATAACAGGCTACCTGCCTTTTCTCCCTTACCTTCTATCTCTATCGTACCTAGAACCATAGGCAATTTCCTACAGGTGATCCCAGAGATAAGGTCTTGGCTCAACTCACACTCTTGTGCTCAACCTTACTCTAGAAGTCATAATAATCCCAGTCAAATCCATTTGCTGGGGCCCAGGAAGAATGCTTAGCATTCTCGTAGCCAGGGATTCATAGGAACCAGAACTGAGCAGCCAGCTGGTCCCCAGATAAAACAGGCTTATAGTAGTGAAGGAATTTCCAGGAAAAAGAATGAGCGACAGTTATATTGATAGGCTTCTTCCTCTGAGGTCAGAGCATATGACTTTACTTCTTCCAACCAGAAAAAAGATGAGGTAAATTTGAGAGCAGGATATAAGCTAAGGGATTTCTGGAAGAGGGCTAAAAGTCTTCCAACCAGTCAAATCAAATGCTCTGGAGTTATGTGTTTGTGTCCTGGCTTGAGAAATAAATAGATCTTTACTGCCCAGGTACAAGGACTGATTTCAGAAGCCATTCCTAGTTAAGACCATATGGAGGGAAGAGCTGCTTCTATATACCCAGCTATATCTCACACTATGCTTACCCTGCTTCAGGTCCACCCTTCGATAGGTCAAACACTTGAGATGGGTTGAGGTATTCTTTGAATTTTCGGAGGAATACGATCCCTTGATGATCGCCGCTTTTGGAGTTGATGAAGATGAGCAAGGGACATGAACAGGCAGATGACCAGTCGAGGTTCCAGAAGTCTGAAGACACTACTAATTGGCCTAATACACACAGAAAGAAAAAGAAGAAGAGGAAGAGGAAGAAGGTCATTAAGATGAAAACAAAATATGAGGCAGCATCACATTTTATAAGAACATTCTGAGTATCAGGCCCAGTCTTCTGAGATTAAGGGGCAGAAGCAAAGTCCTGACATCACCCAAAGGGACTTAAAAGTCTTTTTCTAGCTAGCAAACAATACTTTCTGAGCAACTATTACATACTAAACATCATACTCAATACTAGTTATAGACCCTGTCCTCAAGCTGAGGCTACACACACACACACACACACACACACACACACACAGGGGAGTATGTTGGAATACAAGGGATAAGGAAATTGGTGACACAATCAAGGATTAGTAAAACTCTGTGAAGAAACTAAGGAAAGAGAGGATTGAGAGCCCAGGAGGAGACGAGTATCCCTATTAGTCATTTCTCTGCCTGGGCTAGCTCAGTTCTTTGTCAGAAGAGACCAGGTCAGGAAAGGAGGGACAAAAGTCAATATTTCACTGTAGAGTGAAACAAAGATCTTTAATCATTTCTTTAATATTGTACTAGAGCTATCCATATTAGTTCAGTTTCCAGGGGGAAACAAGGCTATGTCTGAATAAGAGAGAAGTTTTTAATAATCCCCAACATTGACATTATCGATGAATAACTGGGTTATGACAGCCTAAATAGCCATAGACTGCCAGCTCAGGCTGAGTCCAGAAGCCTGATGGCAGGAAGACAGGCCATGGCAAAGGCCCCCTAGGAGAGGGATGCTAGACAAATAGCAAGCATCCAATCCTCTGAGCTTGTGGCTTGCCAGGGATGCCTTAGCAAAAGTTAATGCGCAGGAAAAAAAAAAACACGTGGCTCACTCCTGAGTGGGATGGATGGGTTGAGATTTATTGTAATATGGGTGAAAAGAAGTCTCACTATTTGGCATGGAAAAACTAAGGCAGGTTTTTCTCTATGAGCCAATTCCCACTCACTGGCGGGGGGAGCTTGAAGTAGTATAGCTTGGAAGTAATTACTTGACAAATGTACTACCTCTGACAGCATTTTTTAACAAAGGATAATATTTTGACATGATGGTAGTTCCAACATACTCATTCATTCATTCATTCATTCAACAAGTATGTATTGAGGACATTCTCTGTGCTTGTCATGTATGTATGCATGTTTGTATGTATATATGTACTGGGAATTGAATCCCGGGAGTGCTGACTGACTATATCCCCAGGCTTTTAAAATTTTGACCCACAGTTTTGCTAAGATTCCCAGGCTCGTGTTCTTCCTGCCTCAGCCTCCGGAATAGCTGGGATTTTAGGCATGTACGACCATGCCTGGCTGTGCCTGTCTTTATTTAGGTTCTGGGAAAATACAGTGGTAGACAAAATAGGAAAAGTCTTTGCTCCTGTGGAACTCATATTTTGGTAAAGGAAGATAGACCGTGATGAATACGTCTAAAATCATGTGTTGCGAAGAACAATTAAGCCAGGCAAAGAGAAGGAGATTGTTATTTAGACAAGTCTTGAAGGATACTTCTCCGGGAAGATTACATGCAAGATGAGATTTGTGAAGTGAGGGAATGAGCAATGCAGATATCTGGGGAAACAGTTTTTTGGGCAAGGAGTAGAACCCGGAGAAGGGTCTTCAAACACCCCAGTCTCTTCACTAGTACAACTGTTGTAGAAGAGTGGCGGAGAGAGTGGAGGAAGATGAGGTCAGATAAATTGACATTAAGTTGAGACTACTCAGTGAATCCTTAGGGTCGGACCATAACATATATAAAGTAGTATTGTTTAATGTTCTTGCTCCCCTCTCAACCAAAAGAATGAAAACGGAGAGGGTTGCAGGAGAAGGAGAGGATCAGACGGAGGATGGAAGCAAGATTTTTTTCTAAATAGTATGTGTGCATTTTTTAAAAAGAAATTGTACTATGTGATTATATTAACCAGTCGAGAATTAAATTAAGAAATAAGAAAAAGGGACTTGTGCTAATGCTATGTATAAGTTAAATAGCTATGAGAGTTTAGCCAAAATGCTTTCAAAATTCATTTGGCAGCTTGGAGCACAGGCTGCCTTCTGTGGTATGCTTCTACAAGAGGATGCAGCTGTGTCCTACAGCTTTTTGCCCTTCAGGTTTATTTACTAACCTAGAGCAAACATCTTAACTTCTCTGGGGATTCATCTCTCCATATATATTAGTAGCATGTTGCAATGATTAATAAAATAAAATAAAATGGGTATAGAAACTGCACATAAAGAGAAAATTCTGTAATTAAGGCAACCTGAACTTCAGTTTCAAAACTCATTTTGGCACAGATGACAAGACTCAGGAAGCAGTGCCAGCAGTCTCAGGAGAATACAGCGACAGCCCTATCTGCCATTTCCCCCAGAGGCAATACGCATCTAAATTTGAGCAAGGCTACATTGGTCACGAGAATCTTCAGAATGAGTGGCAAAAATAGGGATCACTGTCTGTTGGAGTGCAGTGATACCTTTGAGTTCCTAACCAGGTAACCAACCAGACCTACAGGTTGGCCTTTGAGAAGGCTGATGTTAATCCTAAAGGAGGATCCTGTCCTATCTCACAATTTTACTTAGTTCAGATAGAAACACAGAAGCCTGGCTTGTGAACTTTGAAGGACTCAAAGCTGGAGGAAGAACTACTAGGTGACAATCAATATTAGAAAATGACCTCGACTGTATGAGTCAAAGTCAATAGATGAAATGTAAAGGGAGTAAGTGCAAAGTTTGGCCTTTACCCTCAAGTACATAAATTGTACTAGAACAGGGTAATACAGACTTGGTTTGGCAGCATTTGGTGTAAAAAGAGCTTAGGGGATTTAGCTGACTTTAAACTTCAGATGAGTCAACAGCCTGAAAGAAACTTAAGCTGCATTAATACAACCATTGTGCCCTAAACCAGGGAATTAATAGACCCCACTCAAATTTGTTCTGTTCGCTCTATAGAAGAATGCTAAATTGGCATACGGTTGGCTTGCTATTCATCTTTCTATATTTTTAAATCCTTTTTAACAAATGCCAGCTCATTTAAAACTGCCCTTACTTATTGGCAGAAAGAAATAACACATGAAGGGCATAGAGAGGTTAAGTGCCTTGTCTAGAACCATATAGCAAATGATGGAGAGTGCCCTATCAAATGCAAATTCTAATAGTGCAAATTCTTGGGCCCCACATAACCTACTGACTCAAAAGACCAAAAGGTAGGGCCCAGAAATCTGTATTTTTTGAAGTTTTGTAGCTCCCTTTTTTTTGGATGTTACAGAGGATTGAGCCCAGTGTCACACATGTGCTAGACAAGCACTCTGCCACTGAGCTGTATCTCCAGCTCAGCCTTGCAGATTAATCTGATGAATGCTGTACACTGCACTACACTATTTTGCTTCTGTATTTAACCAGTGAAACTTACAGAAAGCATGTCAATGGCTGATTCCATGCACTAAGGATTATCTGTACCTGCACTAGAGCCAGAAAAAGAACTGGAAGAGATTGTGTGTGTGTGTGTGTGTGTGTGTGTGTGCGCGCGCGCGTGCGTGCATGCACGCTTGCGTGTATAAATACACAGATATGCATATGCTATGCCTGATTCTATAACTGTTGTCATGGTCGCAGGAATCTTTGTCCCCTTTTATTCTCTAAGTAAACCATCTACTTTTCTTCTTTTCCCTTTCTTTTTTTGGAGCAAATGCTGGCTCTTTCTTGGCAATGAAGTGAGCGGAATCATGTTGGGGATAATTTTTAAGTGAATGGAATGCTGGTTCACCAATCACTCTTGGACCAGTGGGCTCTCTTCATGTCAGAAGTGGATAAATTTTTATATTTGAAAATATAGAGTAAAATATTTTCTAAAAGATTTGAACTTTCATCCAGTATGTGAGATTGACCATATACAGAGTGAAACTAACCATACACAAACTGAAATTAATGAGCAATGCCACTCTTCCCTGGCTTACTGAAATGGTAGCATGTCAGTAATACATGTGATTTCTCTATTTCTTAGTGGTAGTAAAAATGGGTCAGGGCTTTTTAGATATGCTATTTGATTTTAATGCTGACAGATCCCACTCTTTAAGTATGAGTAATGGGTAAAGCATATGAACAACTTGATCGCAGAAAGAAGAGTCTCATCCCTGAAGAAGCAAAGATGATGTAGGGAAGAAGTGAACTCAAGAATTATCCCCTAGGGAGTCTAGTTTTCATTAGGCTAAGAGACTTCGCACTTAGTATCCAAGAAGACCAGGAATTTAGTTTTGTGTTCCTTTTGGACTATATTTCTAGCTACTTAGTCCTTTTGCATATTATAATTTATTTTCACAATTAAAGGCTTCATTTTTTTTATAGACAGGGAAAGAACGCATAGAATGTGACTTACCTAATATCACCTACCTATAAAATGACTAAAACTCATGATTGTATATTTTTTTGTTTTTCCCCCTTACACCATGCTGCCTATGGTGTTTCATCACTTTCCTTCTTTGCCTCTACTTTCTCTGTTCTTACATTGCTAGACCTCTTGATAGTTTATTCTTGCTGCATTGATTTCATTACTACCTTCTTTATGTTCAACTTCCTACAAATGGTTAACATTTCTAACACTTTTCATCTGCGAGTGTCCCTACCATTCCTTTGGCACTTAGCATATGCACCTATTGTTAATTATTGTATTGTATCAAGCTCCTGGATTCACAATAATCTTTTACTCTGGCAATGCCTGTGTCTTAGATCTCTCTGCAGCCTGTAAGCTTCTTGTAAGTAGAGTTCTCAACAAACCCCTACTGCTCAGGAATTGACAAAGCATCATTGATGCATGTTGGGACAGTGATCACATTAGTTTCAGATTTGGAAGCGACTTTGGTATTAGTTTCCAGTAATATAACTCTGGGCCTGGGCAAGGGATTTAGCTCAGTGGTGTGTGCCTGCCTTGCAAGTGCAAGATCCTGAGTTCGATCCCCAGTCCTGGTGGACTTTTGACCACCTGGACACACACAAACTCATTTTATGCACCGTCTATTGTTTGAAAATCTTTAAAATGCTGAAATCAATTTTTATCAACTGAAATAAGCTGTGACAGAGGCTACAGAAAATATGCTCAAATACATATACATCAGGAAGACCAACATTCACCAATCCAAACTTCTAAAGAAAAACACGAGCTGTCTATGGACACAACCCTCCCACCAAATATTTGACAGGTTGAGGAGAATAATTTCAGCCCCTTTTCCAATCTTTGTACCTTCCCTTCCTCCCTCCCTCCCTCCATAATGTTTTTCTGAAGTTAAGTATTAGCTACTCACCATCACCTTTGGGGTCGCTGAGAGCAGTGGGAGGGACTATCGATGAACGGTAATTTCCAAAGACACATTCCTTGGAAAACCATCTGCGACAGTCACCATGCACCTGAAATGACAAGAACCAAACAGAAAAGGGAGGGGAGAGAGAAAAAGATAATGTTGATCAGTCTTGAGTTCCAATTCTAAGAAGTAGATCTTAACCTTTAAATATCTCTTTCTGAGATGTGCTTCTATATTCATACCCCTAACTCACCTGGCTACCCCCATTTTACCCTGAACCTTCCCTGCCCCTGGTAGAGTCCTGGTCCTTTAAAGTGGCTTTCAGTAAATACCCTTCCAAAGGCACTGAGAAGTCATCAGTTCTAGAACACAATCTGAGTGGCCTGCAGAATGGGAGTCTTACTTGCATATAAGAGTACTAATACTAATAATCTGCCAATACACTTTAATCCTTATAACAACCAGGAGTGGAAGAAAAGATATTGGGTTTATTTTAGAAACCAGCATAGCGAAACTCACAAAGTTAAAGGGTCTTGCCTAAGGTCAAATGGCTGCAAGTGGCAAAGCTGACTTCCCTGTAAGTGGCCATCCTTCCCAGATTTTTTTATATCTTCAAGCACCACTTTCTGGGCAATTGAACAGTTTCTAGCAGAAACTGTGACTTTGGCCTTATTATTCAAAGCAATTATAAGAGAGACAGAGAACAAACAGTTTTCAACAAAGAAGTTCAGTTTCTTCTTGTTTTTGAAAACTCAGTTTGACAGAAGCCTCTGAAAGGCTAGAAGGACTAGATCTGGGCCCTGAACACGGTCTCTCAGCCTCAGTGTTATTGATATTTTGGGCCAATTGGGGCAAATTGTTTCCAGTTGAGGGCCAGATTTAGAGGCTTAATAGTGTTGTAATTAGCATCATGAGCTTTGAAGAATTATGTATGAATCAAGACATTCTTGTTTGTTGGCCACATGACCTTGGGCAAATTCCTTCCTGAACCTCACATTTCTTACTTGTAAAATGGAGACAATGAGACCTCATTTAAGGTTGTTGTAAGGATTAAGTGAAATAATATATATATAAAACATTCAATTCAATCCATAGTGAAAATAATTTGTTAATATCCTTAACTATTATTCATTTATAAAGATGAAAAATTCCTAGGAATTTGTGAATGAAGTAAGAAAATCTTTTAAGGATGGATTCAGAATTTATTTTTTAATAACCTGTATTTCCATTAAAGAGTTTAGCTTTTCTCATTTGCTAGAAAGGCCTCATCGATTAGGAAGTGTCAGATATGCACATCTTAAATATTTTTTTCCCCAAAGGGTCCATAGTCAGATTTGGAAGGGCAGGATACTAAGATCTAGACTGTGGAATCTGTATATTTTGCAATAAGGACCACTGAGATTTCTCTCCATGTATATGCCCAGCCCTCTCTTTTCTAGAAGTCAAGTTCTTTAAGTGGCAAGGGAATGGGAAGAGTCTTACCGTGGAATTACACCACAGGCAGCGGAAATCTTGAAGTCTTTGATAACTGCCACAGCTCTTATGACATACTGCACATTGAGAGCTTATAGGCATGTTGCCTTCTACCCATTGATGGGGCATGGTTTGCTAAAGGAGAGAAAAGAGACAAAAGGTAGAAGTTAGTGATATAAGGAAGGAAGGAAGGACCAATTTGAATAACTGCACTATCCCATGGAGGACATTAGGCAAAAGCTCAAATTCTTCATGGTCTTGCTCTCCTCACTCTAATGTAGTGGCCAAAGACAGGAATGAGAGTACGTATGGGGAAGCATTTCATTATTTGAGATTGGTTGGATTGTGAACCTGGAGAAGAGGCCTACTTTGCTTATCTGCTGACAGGAAGAAGTCTTCCTATTCCTGTGTGATATGCCTGAAGGGGTTGTGGGAGGGGGCGACTGTAGAAGCACATAGCTGGAACTTACTATTTCATCTGCAGGCAGGAGGAGGTCATCAGTGACAGACAAGGTATTCCATTTGCAGTCTTTGTTTGCCCTCAAAGCACATAACATGTGAGACTGCACTTTGCACACTGTGAGAAGAAGAAAAAGGATGAGTGTGAGTCTGGTGACGGCGAAGAATCTGATTTCCTTCCTTATGCTGTTCCGAAAGTTAAAACTCAGAGGCACTCTAAACAGTTCGGATTCACCTCCAAAATCCTATTTCCTATATGAGCTAGTTTCTTTTGATTCTTATCAGCTAAACGCTCTGTTATCCAACTTGAATGGAAATCAATGGTAAGAATGGTATGATTCCTGTCATTTGAACCCTTGTAAGCATTTTACCCTCCTAACCCTCTACTTTCATTCATACTAGCTCCTCTCTCCCCCCTCCCCACAGGCAGGGTTAACTTCCCACCAGAGTAAGTGACCTAGAATGTCCACAATACTAAAACTACACTAGCTCCTTCACACCAATCTCCACCCACTGAGTTCCTTTATAAAAGAATCAGAAAGCTACCTTCACAGATAATGGCATCTCTCGATAAGGCAGGAATGCTCTCTCGACAAATGTTGCAGTGCTGAGTATGTAGACTGTGGCTGGAATACCAATAGTGCATTCCAACAAGGAAGGGGTTGTTTTCTGCCGCTGGTATCTAAAATAAATCAAAGAGAAGAGAAAATGGAGGGTTAATCATAGGGATGGGTTAAGGAAGGCCAGATAATCTGTTGCTAAGGCTAAAATAGCCAGCTACGTAGGTGTTAGAGCATGTGAAGGGGACGACTGAAAGTTATAGCCGATACCTATATTTTGTTTTATTTTGTTAGTGGTTCTATAAAGGGAAAAGAATAGACTTCCAGATCCTGAAGTAGGAGCTGAAGGCAGGAGCAATGATCATTTTATTGCTTGGGGAGTCATAATATTGGTTTAATCCAAAGAACATTTGTTCTTTTAGCCTTGGCCTTGGCCCTCTTTAAGTAGACAGCAAAAAGCAATGGTGAGTTGGAAATTCACTGATATCCAAATGCTCTGGCCAGGGAAAAAATGGAGGAGGAAAGGCTCTGACTCTAGGCTAAGGAGTACTTCCTTTCCTGGCCCTGTTGCTGCCAGATGAGGGGAGCATCACTTTATCTGGGCAACAGTTAAAGTTGCTTTAACTCTTTATCTCAAGAGCTTCTATGTATTCTTTTCTGAATATCATGCTCTGACTGCCTACAGAAATTTCCTGTTTAATCAACTCTTAGTTCATTTAATATTTCATTGAGCAAATATTTACTTAGTAACTACTATATTCTTGGCACTTTTCAGAACACTTGGGATATAATGACGAACAAGGCAAAGTGACATTTTGATGTCCTCTTTCATGGTAGTGAATTTGACATTACTGTTAACCTGCCTATGAATGCTGCATTTGTATATCACAGCCTGACTTTCATAACTGTGGGAAAGGCACTGGATGTACTAATTGTCTGGGTGCTGAAAGGAGAGGAAGGGGTGGACACTGAAAATCTCCAAGTTTATGCTGGGTATACCTTCACAGGGCTTTTCTATTTTTTTTCTCTAATTCCTGTGAATATCTGATTTTTTCTTTCTCCACCTTCCACTAGAGTTCAAACATAGGCATATATGTGCCTTTTTATTCTTGGCATTATAATGGGTTGTATATGTAAAGGTATGACAAAATAAAAAGAAGTATATATTCTCCCTGATGTCAGCTGATAACGGTCCATTAGAGGGACAGCTATTGAGGGATCTGCCACATTGAGTATTCAACCTTGATGCATTTCAATAATTAATCATCCAAGACACTCCCTGACTCCCTTCTTAATCCCTGCATGCTAGCCATATACTAAGTTACTGTTGGATTGACCTGGAAGCTTCTGGAAGGAAGAGCCCTTCTGATAAGCTAAAAGTCATGGTCTAAAATTTCTTTGTGGTTGAAGTTTTTTGTATATTACACCCTGAAAAGCCCTAAGAAAATGAGAATGGGAGATAGAGAATTCCAACAAAGTGATATAGTGTTGGTTTTCACATCCTGAGTTCCCAGCACCTTCTCCAAGCCACTAGATTATAACTCTACAAACATCTTTTTTCCATCCAATGTCCATCTCTCCTCCAATAATAACTAGGAGCCAACTGTATGTTCTGTAACATACTAAGCACTGGAACTGCAAAGATGAATAAGCCACCACTGTTGCCCTCAAGAAGCTCATATTCCACTAGAGGAGACAAATTCTGAAACACATCAGTCCAACAGAGTGACCAGTGAACTCTTCAAGAATGTACAAAGTTCTATAGGACCAAGTGGAAGAAATGCAGGACTCAGCCTGGGTAGAACTAAATTTCAGGGCTCAATTGGCTGCAGAATATAAAGAACATATTTAACGGACAGTATTTAGGTTCAACAGTTGAGATGGAATTTATCTTCCTTATGCACAAGTGTGTGAGCCTAACCCAAGGCCCCTTCATTTTGGGTCCAGAGGGTAGAATTTCCTCCTGGTTTCCAGAAGTTGGGGCCACTTTCTTGGTTAATAACAGAGGATGTCACTCAGGTGTGCTAAGAGGGTGGAGCCAGGGAACATCAGGCTAAAGATAATTATTCTCAGGCCAGGAAACCTCGGTGAATTTGCTTTATGCATTGTCGACTTTCTTTACACCAGTAACTCTTTTATCCTTTCTATTTTATCCATTTCAGAATGGGAATGTCTATCCTGTGCCACATTGAGTATTTTATTTTAGAAGCAGGAAACTTGTTTTGTAGATTTTATGGGAGATGGAGAACAATCCTGTCTGAAAAACGACCATACCCAGAGTCTCACTCCGACCTGATTTAGGTTATTCACAAGAGGAGATTTGGATTTTTTTTTTGGTGGGGGGTACTGGGGATAGAACTCAGAACCTTGCACTTGCAAGGCAGGCGGTGGGACCACTGAGCTTAATCCCTAGCCCCATAAGATGAGAGTTTGGACTTTAAGAGCTGATGCTAAAACAGATTGTCTAGAATGGGATATTGGAATGAAGTGCATATATTTTCACATAAGAAAATTATACATTTGGGGGTACCATAGGATGGACTAGTGCAGATTGAGTTGTGTCTCCCCAAAAGATATGCATAACCTCTGGTACCTGTGAGTGTGAACTTCCTTGGAAATAGTATCTTTGAAGATATAATCAATTTAAGATGAGGTCATAGTGCATTGGGACAAGCCTTAATGCAATTACTGGAGCCCTAAAAGAAGAGGGAAACGTGAATGTGGACACATACAAAGAAGAGGACACCTTCTGATGATGCGGAGAAAGTAGATGCAAGGAGGGGAGACTAGAGTGATGTGCCTGGAAGCTAAAGAGGGCCAAAGATTGCCAGCAGCCACTAGAAGCTAAAAAGAGGCCAAAAAGTTCCTCCCCTAAAGCCTTCAGAGAAATCATAGGTCTTCTGACACCTTGGTTTCAGACTTAGGTCCTCCAGAGCTGTGAGAGAATAAATAAATGCTTGTTTTTGAAGTCACAAAGTTTGAGGAAATTTGTTAGCACAGCCTCAGGAAACTAGCATGGTATGTCATTACAAACTTCTCTATATTGAGTTTCTCATGTAAGAGCAATATTAAAGATTGTGTGTTGGATTCACATCACTGAACATTACAGTCTCAAGCTACACCCATCTTCCTAAAAAAGACTCACATTTACTTTTTCTCATGGCAGAGTAGTACTCCATTGTGTGTAAATGCTACAATTTCTTTGTCTATTTGTCTGTTGATGGACATAAGACTCTTTCCAAGTCTTAGCCATACAAATTGCGCTGTTATAAGCATGTGTGTGCATACGTCACTGTGATGGTATGTTGTTTTAAACTCTATTGGGAAGACTTCTAAAAGGGGAATAGCTAGGACACATAGAATTTCTAGTTTTAGTGTTTTGAGGAATCTCCATACTGAATTCCGTAGTGGTTGTAGCAGTTTACACTTTCATCAACAATGAAGAGGGATTCTTTATTCCTCTAAGCTTTGCCAGCATTTGCTTTTGGTTGATTTCTTGATGATAGCCATTCTTTCTGGAGTGCAATGGAATCTCAGTGTTTACATTTGTGTTTCCTGAATGGCCAGCAATGGATGTCCAACATTTTTTTTCAGCTTTAATTGAGTTTATTGGTACATTTTAGGGATACAGTACAGTTACATTCATTGTTGGGATCTTGTTCAACATTTTTTTTGTGCATTTATTGGCCATTTGTATTTCTTCATTCAAGATTTGTCCATTCACTTCAGATGCCTAATTTTTGGTAGGGTTTTCAAATTTGGTAGGTCTAATGTTTTTCAGTTTTTTTCTAGATATTAGTCTTTTTTTCTGAGGAGTAACAGGCAAAAAATGTTTTTCTATTCTGTAGACACCACTCTGTTGGTAGTTTCTTTTGCTGTGCAGACCTTTTCAATTTGATTTATCATTTGTTGATTTTTGGGGTATTATTTCTTGTGCAATTGGGGCTCTGTTCAGAACATCTTTTCCTACATCTATGTTTTCAAGTGTTTTACCTATTTTGCCTCCTGGCAGATTGTTTCTGTTCTGATGTTTAGATCTTTATTCTGTTTTGATTTTAGTTTTAGTGCACAGTGAGAAATAAGGGTCTAGGTTTAACCTATGGCATGTGGAAAGCCAGTTTTCCCAGCACCATTCATTAAAGAGATTTTTCTTCTAGAAAAGGGATTTGGCCCCTTTGTCAAAGATAACATAACTGAGTGTCCCTGGAGTTGTTTATGCATCCTCTATTGTGTTCCACTGGCCCATAAATCTGTTTTTTGTTTTGCCAATATATCCTATTTTATGTGTTTACTTTTATCACTATAGCTTTATAGTATAACTTGAAGTCCGGAACCATGATGGCCCTTGCCCTGCCCTTGTTGCTCAGAATTGTTTTTGCTATTGTAGTTCTCTTCTAGTTCCATATGAATTTTAGGCTTACCTTCCCTAGTTTTGTGAGGAAGGCTATTGGTATTTTGATATTCTCATTGGTCTTTTTCAGAGTACTATAGTTTTTTTTTAAAAAATAATTTTATTGGTACATTTAAGGTATATGATGGAACGACATTCATCATTGGAAATTTGCACCTTTACATACTCCATCTTGGTTCTTATTTTTCCCCATTCCCCTGCCCTCCCTTCAACCCCTCCATCCATCCCTATCTACAAAGACTTTGTTTCCATTTTTTCATATTAATTCCATTTCCTTCTTTGCTTTCCCCTATCCCACCCATTTCCCCTTCCCCTTTGCCCCCTTTCTTCCTGTTTCACATTATCTATTATACCTTTGCATCCTTATTTACACTTTCAGTTTCTCACACCAGAGAAACTATTCTGTATTTACACATGTGTGTCCTATTTATTCCACTTAAGAGTGTGGCCTCAGTGTGCATACATTTAGTTAAGGCCTACTATCTAGAATATATAAAGAACTTTAAAAAATCAGACCTCCCAAATTTAAAGACCCAATCCGAAAACGGGCATCTGAAATGAACAGACATTTCTGAGACAAAGAAGTAGAAACAGCAAATGAACATATGAAAAAAGACTCCACAGACTCCACATCACTGGTCATTTGAGAGATGCAGATGAAAACAATGCTGAGATTCCACCCCACCCCACAAAGAATGGCTGCTATCATGA